TGATATCAGAATGATCCAAGTATCAAAATGTAGCTTTTAAAGTAGGAATTTGAAAATGTAATTAGGTCATTTTGACCAAATTTGAGTGAATCCTCATATGATGAGTCATATTTTCACTTGGGAATGTTTTTGAACCGTCCTAACCAAAGATCATCATGCACTGATCAACTTTCCTTTCAGCATGCTCTTCTTGAGACTGAAGCCAATCAGATTCGAGCGTCCATCCTGGACATGGCCCACTGCATCCGGACCTTCACAGACGAGGTGTCTGAGTACTCGAGGAAACTAGTGGGCATTGTGCAACAGATTGAGGGTGGTGAGCATATAGTAGAGGATGGAGTGGGCATGGCCCACACTGAACACGTAAGATAAATCACAGAATTTTACTTTATTTCTAAATGAATGGTGGAACCAGTCTGGTTTCATCGTGTTTTTGTTGTGTTCATCAGGTCCCTGGCACGGCAGAGAGCGCTCGCTCCTGTGTGCGAGCTTACTTCGCAGACCTTCATGAAACCCTGTGTCGGCAGGAGGAGATGGCGCTGAGCGTGGTGGACGCACACGTCAGAGAGAGGCTGATCTGGCTGAGGCAGCAGCAGGAGGACATGACCATCCTGCTGTCCCAGGTGTCCACTGCTTGTCTGCACTGTGAGAAAACACTTCAACAGGTCTGACGCTTGGAAATACGCACAGCTTCAGTGCACAATCTGCAGACATTTAAACTCAAGTTAATGAGCATGTAAAACACACTGAAATGTGTTTCCTGGTGTAGGATGACTGCAGAGTTGTGTTGGCCAAGCAGGAGATCAACTGTTTGCTGGAAACTCTTCAGAAGCAGCAGCACCAGTTCACTGAGCTGGCTGATCACATTCAGCTGGATGCTGGAATCCCCGTCACCTTCACCAAGGTACGAAAAATCCCCGTCACCTTCACTAAGGTACGAAAAATCCCCGTCACGTTCACTAAGGTAGGAAAAACCCCGTCACGTTCACTAAGGTAGGAAAAACCCCGTCACCTTCACTAAGGTACAAAAACTCCCCGTCCCCTTCACTAAGGTACGAAAAATCCCCGTCACGTTCACTAAGGTAGGAAAAACCCCGTCACCTTCACTAAGGTACGAAAAATCCCCGTCACCACTAAGTTATGAAAAATCCCCATCACCTTCACTAAGGTACGAAAAACCCCGTCACCTTCACTAAGGTACGAAAAATCCCCGTCACCTTCACTAAGGTATGAAAAATCCCCGTCACCTTCACTAAGGTACGAAAAAACCCCGTCACCTTCACTAAGGTAGGAAAAACCCCGTCACCTTCACTAAGGTACAAAAAATCCCCGTCACCTTCACTAAGGTACGAAAAAACCCCATCACCTTCACTAAGGTACGAAAAATCCCCATCACCTTCAATAAGACACGAAAAATCCCCGTCACCTTCACTAAGGTACGCAAGATCCCCGTCACCTTCACTAAGTTATGAAAAATCCCTGTCACCTTCACTAAGGTACGAAAAATCCCCGTCACCTTCACTAAGGTACGAAAAATCCCCGTCACCTTCACTAAGGTACGAAAAATCCCCGTCACCTTCACTAAGGTACAAAAAATCCCCGTCACCTTCACTAAGGCAGTGTTTCCCAAAGTGGGGTCCCGAAACATCAAGGTGGGGTCCTGAAAAGATTTTCTGAATCAGGCTGAAATACATTGCCTGGCCAAAACAAAAGTTGCCATCAAAGAAAAGGTCACACTCTAATATTTTGTTGGACCTCCTTTAGCTTTGATTAAGACACACATTAGCTTTGGCAATGTTTGATAAGCTTAGAAGCTTATCAATGTCACAAGAATTGATTCCATCAGTGTTGCATTAATTTTTCACCAACATCCTGCTTTGATGATGGTAGAGTCTGACCTTCTCCAGCACATCCCAAAGATTCTCATGGGGTTAAGGTTTGGACTATGTGGAGCTATGTGTAGCTTTCACTATGTGTGAAAATGATGCTTCATGCTCCCTGAACCACTCTTTCACAATAAGAGCCTGATGAATCCTTGCATTGTCATCTTGAAATATATCTGTTCCATCAGCGAAGAAGCAGTCCATTGATGGAATAACCTGGTCATTCAGTATATTCAGGTCAGCTGACCTCATTCTTTGAGCTCAAACTGTTGCTGAACTTAGACCTGACCACCTGCAGAGACCCCAGATCATAGCACTGCCCTCACAGGTTTGTACAGTGATGGGTGCATCACTTCACCTGCCTCTCTCCTTATGCACCCATCACTCTGGAACAGGGTCAGTCTGGACTTATCAGACCACATAATCTTCTTCCATTGTTCCAGAGTCCAGTCTTTATGCTCCGTATCAAATTGAAGCCTTTTTTCTCAGTTAGCTAATGAATTGACCCTTCTCAAACAGACTGACATCTTTTCCACGACCACGGGATGTCTTTCCACATGCTTGTTTAAGAAATGAGAAGCAACTTGTTGCACCATTTGGGGTTAAATAACTTGTTGTAAGCTGAGACATAATGACATGCAGTAATTATCCAATTGACCCTTTGCACGTGATGTCACACACTCCAAAAGACCGCCCATTTATCCATGACGGACATCAAAAACAATCAGTTAGCATAAACTCCTGTACAGCTAGTCAAAAACAGAGACATTTGGTGGCAAAAATATTTTTAATAACTTTATTTATTCTAAATTTTATGATTGTTTGGAGCAAGAATTGAAACCAGTGCTACAAATTCAATCAAATACACAGCCCTACTCAGTCATTCATAAGATTTATTAAAAAAAGGTCAAGCTAAAGTTTATTTGACCAAACAGTTGATAATGTGTCTGTTTTTAGGACAACCGAGTCCACATCGGTCCAAAGATGGAGATCCGTGTTGTGACTCTTGGGCTGGATGGAGCAGGAAAAACTACCATCTTATTCAAGCTGAAGCAAGATGAGTTTATGCAACCCATCCCAACCATTGGTATGTACCTGTCAGAACTCTTCTCAGTTTCACTCACCTCCCTCTGAGTTCTAAATGCTGTTTCTTATTCCATCATAAGGGTTCAACGTGGAGACAGTTGAGTATAAGAATTTAAAATTCACTATCTGGGATGTTGGTGGAAAGCACAAGCTCAGACCCCTTTGGAAACACTATTATCTCAACACTCAAGGTAAGCTCTGGGCCCATATTTATCAAACTTCTTAGAATTACTCTTAAGAATGCTGCTAAGAGTGGACTTAAGTGTAAAATAATTCTTAGTTAAAAGCTGAGAGTAAAAGTCAGTTATCAAGCGTCTCAGTCTTTAAGTGAAGTGTAAGAGTAATTCTTAAGTGTCAGTCTTAGAGCTAATTTACGACACTTTACAGCGCCACAAAGATGATCCTGGATGACGTCGTTACAAAACTCCAGCATGGACCAATCACTGCCTCGGATTTCATGTTCAAAATTATTTCCTGAGAAAAGTCAAAATAAAACTGTGAAAATCCTAAAATAGGTTCACATTCGACACAGTAATGTTCATACATGTCACATTGTACTGATTGTCATAAATTACATAAAATGCCCTCAGTATTATAGCATATTATTTCAAAAACTGCTGCTTAATGTTTTATTTTATGTCTCAGAGCCTCAGGAAATGTTGAGTTTGCACCTTCCTCTTCCTCCTCTAAACTACCCACACACACACACACACACACACACACACACACACACACACACACACACACACACACACACACA